CCAACATGGTGAAACCCTGTCTCTACTAAAAATACAAAAATTAGCTAGGTTTGGTGGCAGGTGCCTGTTGTATGTACTACAGGCACATACAACCTTGCCCAGCTAATTTTTTGTATTTTTTGGGGAAAACACCCAACAGGTTTTTTAGGTTGCTTAGGTTGGTCTTGGACTCTTGGGCTCAAGTGATCCTCCCTCCTCAGCCTCCCAAAGTGCTGGGATTATAGGCATAAGTCTCCATGCCTGGCCTCCTTCCTTTTTAAGGATAAATAATATTCCACTGTATGTATATGACACATTTTGTTCGTTCATCCATGGGTGGGCGTTTGGGTTACTTCCACCTTTTGGCTATCGTAAATAATGCTGCTATGAACCTGGGTGTATGAGTATCTCTTTGAGACCCTGCTTTAATTCTTTTTGGCGTATACCGAAAAGTGGAATTGCTGGATCGTATCGTAATTCTATTTTTGATTTTGAGGAAGCGCCATCCCAATGGGTGTGATATCTCATGTTGGTAAAGTATATCTTTTTAAAAAAAAATTACTTAAAAAATATCTTTAATTGAAACAAACTAGATTTGGCCAGGTTTAGCACATAGTAAATATGTGAACTGCTCTAGTCTATTTCATGAGATTGAAGATGTGCATATAAATGTTGACATGTTTAAGGATTCAGCAAATTAGTAATCTGACCATATTAATTTCAGTGGTCCTGTTAATTAAAGGGTAAATCAAGTATTATGTATTATTTTGCTGAACCCAACACATTATTTTCGTTAGATTAGAAGCAGAGTGTCAGTGTAGTTGCAGCAGAGCAGAGGCATTGAGTAAATGTGTTGAATAAATAAATGAATGAATACCTTATGAAGGATTTGGAACCCAGGCATTTGGAATCATTTTCTGGACAGTAACTGGTTTTAGGGATGATAAAACTTTTCCCCAAATGTCTGTATACATACAAAACTTTGCACGTGAAAAGTTTACAGAATTTCACGTGAATAACAATTGTATTAATCAGCAGTTAAGTTTTATCCATCATATTAAACAAAAGCTCCCTCTTCCCAATAACCTTAAAAGAGGTATTTTCAGCTCTAATATTCTGAATGTAATGTGGGGGGAAAAAAACCTCCCAGGAGGTGTTATTAATACAAGGATTCATAACCAAAATTATATCACCAGATATTGGAATGAGCAGTATTAAATCAGTCAAATTACCAATGAGAAAAGTCAATATCAAGTCATAGGTACTTAAATATTTATGTTAACGTGGTTCTTTTTTTCTTTTTATTTGAGATAGTCTCCCTCTCTTACCCAGGCTGGAGTGCAGTGGCGCAATCTCGGCTCACTGCAGCCTCTGCCTCCTGGGTTCAAGCAATTCCCTGCCTCAGCCTCCTGAGTAGCTAGGATTACAGGCATCTGCCATCACGCCCAGCTAATTTTTTTTGTATTTTTAGTAGAGACAGGGTTTCATCATGTTGGCCAGGCTGGTCTTGAAATCCTGAACTCGTGATCCACCCACTTCGGCCTCCCAAAGTGCTGGGATTACCGGCATGAGCTACCGTGCCCAGCCTAACATGGTTCTTTTTATAGATTTCTCACTTAAAAATTTTCTCACTTCTTAATTACTTAGAGAACATCTAAATTCACTTACTAACTGGAGAAACTGAAAATGAAAGAAGAAATGGGTGAGAGTGGAATCCTCCCACCTCAGCCTGCTGGGACTATAGGCACAGGCCACCATGTGTGGCTAATTTAAAAAAAAATTTTCTGTAGAGACACTGGGTTTCACCATGTTCCCCTGGCTGGTCTGGAACTCCTGGGCTCAAGTGATCCTCCCACCGTGGCCTCTCAGAGTGCTGGGATTACAGATACAAGGCACCACACCAAGCCCTGAGTCAGATTTTAATAAATTCAGTTTCCATTAGAGTGGAAATTTTTCAAATTAATGAATTATTTATTTATTTATATTTTTTGAGACAGAGTCTTGCTCTGTCGCCCCATCTGGAGTGCGGTGGCATGAACTTGGCTCACTGTAGCCTCCGCCTCCTGGGTTCAAGCAATTCTCCTGCCTCAGCCTCCTGAGTAGCTGGGATTATAGGCTTGCGCCACCACCCCCAGCTAATTTTTTTTTTTTTTTTGTATTTTAGTAGAGACGGGGTTTCACCATGTTGGCCAGGCTGGTCTCGAAATCCTCACCTCAAGTGATCCGCCCACCTCAGCCTCCCAGAGTGCTGGGATTACAGGTGTGAGCCACAGTGCCTTGCCAGAGTAGAAATATTTAAGTAAACAAAATATTTCTAAATGTAAACGAATGGCCTACTTATTTTATTTAGCAATTTCAGTTCAGGTACTAGGAGTTTAATATTTCATCTATATTTTAATTAAATAACCACAGATATTAGGCTTTCTCAAAGGTAACATTTTGTCCTCATTTTAGTTTCTCAAATCTTATTAAGGTTATGATGGCCACCCAGCTTGTGAAGTAATAGATGATAACAATATAGTCAGGAAATACCATTTGGTAACCAAGGCTTCAGCAAAGTATTAAGATTTTTGTGATTGTGAGTGTTACAGGTAACACTGTTGGCCCCCAACATTGTCATTTTGTACACTTTGTTGATCAATGGCCTGAATTCATTAAAATTCACACTACATGCCTCAAAAAGAATATTGGATCCCAGCCTAGGTTGTTGAGTATATTCCTGGCCTTTATTAAAATGTAGGTTGATAGAAAGGTGGTAGGGATATTTAAATCTATCATGCTGCTAATTTACTTTCTTTGTAGCACAACAAGGATAGGGAATTAGGAAAACATTACTCACCCAATAGAGAAAAGTTAGATAGAAAATCCAGTATTGACAAAACAGTTAATGCTTTAGTATGATTGAGGATAGGTAATCTAGTGCTAAAGTTGGTCAGAGAATTTCCTGCACAAAATGAAAGATCTATGTATGGGAATGCCAGAGAATTTGACTTCTCAGAAATATATAGACCAACAGCGGTTGCCTTTTTTCATTTTTACTTCTCTTCATTCTTAGATCTACGGAATCCAGAGGCAGCATTGTCTCCAACCTTCCGTAGTGACAGCCCAGTGCCTACTGCACCCACCTCTGGTGGCCCTAAGCCCAGCACAGCTTCAGCAGTTCCTGAATTAGCTACAGATCCTGAGTTAGAGAAGAAGTTGCTACACCACCTCTCTGATCTGGCCTTAACATTGCCCACTGATGCTGTGTCCATCTGTCTTGCCATCTCCACGGTAATGACCTGACAGAGTTAGGATTTACAACTTATTTTCAGTTCCTGGTCAGTGTCTTATTGCCCCTACCTCCCCTTCTTCTCTAGCCAGATGCTCCTGCCACTCAAGATGGGGTAGAAAGCCTCCTGCAGAAGTTTGCAGCTCAGGAGTTGATTGAGGTAAAGCGAGGTCTCCTACAAGACGATGCACATCCTACTCTTGTGACCTATGCTGACCATTCCAAGCTCTCTGCCATGATGGGTGCTGTGGCAGAAAAGAAGGGCTCCGGGGAGGTAGCAGGGACTGTCACAGGGCAGAAGCGGCGTGCAGAACAGGACTCAACTACAGTAGCTGCCTTTGCCAGTTCATTAGCCTCTGGTCTGAGCTCTTCAGCATCAGAACCAGCAAAGGAGCCAGCTAAGAAATCAAGGAAACATGCTGCCTCAGATGTTGATCTGGAGATAGAGAGCCTTCTGAACCAACAGTCCACCAAGGAACAACAGAGCAAGAAGGTAGGGGTCATGTGAAAATACTCTCACAATATGCTCTTAATTATAGCTTTGTTTGACAGGGATCTACCCCTAGGGCAAGGAACTGTTTTTAGAATTGAGGGTTTACAGTGGTTCTCAACCGGGGATGATTCCCTACTGCCCAACTCCCAGGGGATCTGGTAATGTCTGGAGACATTTTTATTATCACACATGGGGGAGTGCTATTGGCATCTAGTGGGTAGAGGCCAGGGATGGTTGTTAAACATCCTACAGTGCATAGTAGGACAAACCCCCACAACAAACAGTTGTCTGTCCCAAAGTGTCAATAATGCCAGTGTCGACAAATTCTGATTTAGATAATCTGTCATTGAATCTGAAAGAATTGGATCAAGAGAAGAGGAATCCAAATATATAGAAATATAGGGAGATATTTCTCCCTGTATTTCTGGAGAGGAATACTAGACCAGTTATAGAAATTGACTAAATAATGTGAATTGGTTCTGAGTATAAGTATTGGCCTGACATGAGTTCTTATCTGTTTGGTACTTCTAGTGCGTAAGTTTGAACAAGTTAATTAACTTCTCTTGAGCCTTAGTCTTTTCATCTGTAATGTGAAGACAATACCAGCATATCCTGCCTTATAGAATTGAATAGACTCTGAGCTAAAAAGTAAAGTGTTTAGCACTATACTTTTTAGTTCAGCACCCAGTAAATATGTTTTTTTTGTAGAAGGAATGCCTTCCTGGGGAGGGGACGTTAATATAATGCTTAGCAGTAGGAACCAGGCCTCTTCCATTTTAATTTCATCCCAAATGCATATTTGTGAGGAAGGACTAACAAATCTCTTATCTGAAGGCTCCAATTTTCCAATATTAAGTTAGCTAATTTAGGGCTAGGCACAATGGCTCATTCCTGTAATCTCAACACTTTGGGAGGCCGAGGTGGGAGGATCACCTGAGGCGAGGTGTTCAAGACCAGCCTGGGCAAAATAGTGAGACCCTATCCCCACAAAAAGTAAAGTAATTAAAACATTAGCTGGCATGGTGTCTTGCACCTGTATTCCCAGCTACAATTGAAGGCTGAGCTGGGAGGATCACTTGAGCCTGAGAGTTCAGTGAGATAAACAGTGAGTTATGATTACACCACTGCACTCTGGCCTGGGTGACAGCAAGATCCCATCTCTTAAAAAAAAAAAAAAAAAAAGCTGATTTATCTCTTGTAAGACATTAATGTCAAAAAGAACTTGCAGAGTTGGTCTAAGAGCCAGTTTGATCTACAAGACATTTTAAGTCCAAGGCTACTTCTGTCACAGGTCAGTCAGGAGATCCTAGAGCTATTAAATACTACAACAGCCAAGGAACAATCCATTGTTGAAAAATTTCGCTCTCGAGGTCGGGCCCAAGTGCAAGAATTCTGTGACTATGGAACCAAGGAGGAGTGCATGAAAGCCAGTGATGCTGATCGACCCTGTCGCAAGCTGCACTTCAGGTCTCTTGGAAGGGAATGAGGTGGGATGGGTTTGTCAGAAGCAGCCATTCCTTTTCAGCATATTCTTTCCAGTCATTGGGGTTCTGTCTGTAATCTTACTTAGTTTATGGTTTGTGTAAGTCCTCCAGACCCTGAAGGTGTACTTTCAGAAGTGCATTGTGTGGGAAGAATACAGGCTGTACTCCCAGATAACTTTTTTTTTTTTTTTTTAAAGAAAAAGCTCCCTCCTTAGAATAACAAGGTATGTCTGTCTCTCAGCCACAGTGAAAGTTAAAGTACTCTGAAAGCAGGATAATCTTAGGAGAAAAGGAACCTGAACTCTTAGGTCAGTGTTTTATTCTGTTCTAACCAACTAAGTCCCCTGCACTGCTTGCCTTCCAGTGGTAAAACAGGAAACCCAGTCTTTACTGAGAGATGAATTACAATTGTTCTGTAGTATGAATTATGGATTTCCATGCTACCTGCCTCCCTTAAAACTCTTGGAGAAAGCTCTAACAATAGAATTAGGGGAGAGTAATAAAATAGGAGACATTTTGAAATCATTTGGAATTCTAACTGTTGGATCTACGTCTGGAGCACAATCTTGATTGTCCCTTTTTATTTTCCCAGACGAATTATCAATAAACACACTGATGAGTCTTTAGGTGACTGCTCTTTCCTTAATACATGTTTCCACATGGATACCTGCAAGTATGTTCACTATGAAATTGATGCTTGCATGGATTCTGAGGCCCCTGGCAGCAAAGACCACACGCCAAGCCAGGAGCTTGCTCTTACACAGAGTGTCGGAGGTGATTCCAGTGCAGACCGACTCTTCCCACCTCAGGTACCTGTCTGCTCAGAAAACTCGTCTCAACTTACAGATTTTGAGTAGGACAGCCATACACGTTAAGAAAGCAGAGCATAATTCAGCAATCTTGTTTTGCTTATTGGGAATGGAGGGGGATAGATAAGCTTGTAAGGGAATAGGAAAAATCAAATGGAAAAGAGGGACTCGGGCCATGAATCTGAGAGTTAAAGTAGGGAAGATGACCAAATACCACTTTATGCAGTGGATCTGTTGTGATATCCGCTACCTGGACGTCAGTATATTGGGCAAGTTTGCAGTTGTGATGGCTGACCCACCCTGGGATATTCACATGGAGCTGCCCTATGGGACCCTGACAGATGATGAGATGCGCAGGCTCAACATACCCGTACTACAGGATGATGGCTTTCTCTTCCTCTGGGTCACAGGCAGGTAATGCAATTCAGTTATGTAGGTATGGACAGATACAGTACAGAGTGAATACTGAGTGGGAGATAAAATCCTGGGTTTTCGTAGCCCTACTATTAAATGTATGACTGGTTTAGCCTTTTTTTCTTTTTTTCTGGGGGACAGTCTTACTCTGTTGCCCAGGCTGGAGTGCAGTGGTGTGATCTCAGCTCACTGCAACCTCGGCCTCCCGGGTTCAAGCAATTCTCCTGCCTCAGTCTCCTGAGTAGCTGGGATTACAGGCACGTGCCACCATGCCCAGCTAATTTTTTCTTTTTGTATTTTTAGTAGAAACTGGGTTTCACCGTGTTAGTCAGGATGGTGTCTATCTCCTGACCTTGTGATCCACTCACCTCGGGCTCCCAAAGTGCTGGGATTACAGGCGTGAGCCACCACACCCAGCCAGTCTTTTTTTCTAGTGAGTCCTAATGCCCATTTACAATGCAAATTATACCCTGAATATATATTTAACTTTACATTTGTTCTTTGAGAAAGGTAAGGTTGTTGAGAATACTGTTTTATCTTTTCATTCTTAGATCCATCATGCTGCTTTTGGTGTTGTGCATGTAAATGTTCACTGAATGTCTACTGAAAAGGTGTATATGGTGTTTTTAACACATCATATATTTTGAAGGAAAAAAAATAAGGGCATACAAATAGTTGTTTAACTCATTTCTTCCTAGGGCCATGGAGTTGGGGAGAGAATGTCTAAACCTCTGGGGGTAAGTAGTGGTTGTGTTGCTTTCTTTGGAGGGTAATACTGTTATAGTGAGATATATGTTTTCTTCTCCCAGAGTATTCTGTGATTCCTTGCTTCTATAAGTGGTACTACCCCTAAACTGTACGTTTGGCTAAAACTCTAGTTCTTTTTTATGCCCCACAGGTATGAACGGGTAGATGAAATTATTTGGGTGAAGACAAATCAACTGCAACGCATCATTCGGACAGGCCGTACAGGTCACTGGTTGAACCATGGGAAGGAACACTGCTTGGTGAGCAGCAGTGGGGCCCAATTCAATAGGTGGAGCACAAAAGAAGAATCATTTGATTTCTTACTGAGAAAAAGTTCAAAAGGTGGTTTCATAAGGTAATCTGTTATCTGTGGTGAGCAGGTTGGTGTCAAAGGAAATCCCCAAGGCTTCAACCAGGGTCTGGATTGTGATGTGATCGTAGCTGAGGTATGTGCTTCCCAGGCGTCCAAAGCTTCCACATTTCTGTTGGTATCAGTTATTCATGTTGGGTGTATTCTCATCCCAGATTTTTCTCATTTACATCATAAACATAATAGAAGGGGCTAGAATTACAATCTTGTGTAACTTAAAAAGCAGCTACTTTTTATTTCCTAGGTTCGTTCCACCAGTCATAAACCCGATGAAATCTATGGCATGATTGAAAGACTATCTCCCGGCACTCGCAAGATTGAGTTATTTGGACGACCACACAATGTGCAACCCAACTGGTAAGGTGACCAGAGAACAGGCTAGTCCTCAAGGGGCTATTACTTATGATTAAGGACATAACTTAGTAGAGCTTCACACTGTATTCCACTAGTCCATAAATGAGCTTGAGAGGATTCATGAGCCACTTAAGCTTGTATTTAAACTGTTTTATGAGATTCTACAAATATTCATTAGAAACTCAACAGGTTCTAGGACCCAAAGCACTGCTCCCTAGGGTTTCTGTTCTCTTCACAACCTAAGGATCTTCCTCAGCCATTCTGTGATGTATTGAATCTGCCCCCTGGTGGTTATCAAGTTATCTATTTAATCTGTCAATAATTACATCTTTCACCCCTTTAATAGAGCTTAAAACACATGCTGCTAGCATTTTGCTTATCCAAAGAGTACTCCCTGGTAGCAGCAACTCTGTGAAACAGGCCTGGCTAAGCCTTAGTTACTAACCCTCAGATAATACAGATCCAGTCTATTTTAACACCAGAATCTATGCCAATTCTGAACTAGTCATTCTGCCATATACTATTCTAATGTTAAGTTCTTTTTAGAAGAATTGGCATATTTAATATGATAGGCAGTCTTCATTTGGTATGCATTTTTTAACACTATTAAACCCTCTAATTCCAGGATTTCTGGTTTGCTCCTCCTTTTCCCGTTTCAGGATCACCCTTGGAAACCAACTGGATGGGATCCACCTGCTAGACCCAGATGTGGTTGCACGGTTCAAGCAAAGGTACCCAGATGGTATCATCTCTAAACCTAAGAATTTATAGAAGTACTTCCTTACAGAGCTAAGAATACATAGCCATGGCTCTATAAACTAAACCTGAAGAGTGATATTTGTACAATAGCTTTCTTCTTTATTTAAATAAACATTTGTATTGTAGTTGGGATTCTGAAGTCCATTCTGGCTCTGCCACTTAACAGGGTGTAATCTTGTGCAACTCATCTCTCAGTATTTCTTATATGTGAAATGGGAGTATTACCTCATTGGGTTGCTGTGAGGGTTCAAACTAAATGAGTGCATGGGAAACATTAAAATGATCATTATAGGCTAGGCACGGTAGCTCACACCTATAATCCCAGCACTTTGGGAAGCCAAGGTAGGAGGGTAACTGTAGCCCAGGAGTTCAAGACTAGCCTGGGCAAAATAGTGAGACCCCATCTCTACCCCCACCCTCCAAAATCATTAAAAAAACAGGAATGCAGGCTGGTTGCAGAGGCTCACACCTGTAATCCCAGCACTTTGGGAGGCTGAGGTGGGCGGACCACAAAGTCAGGAGTTCAAGACCAGCCTGGCCAACATGGTGAAACCCTGTCTCTACTAAAAATACAAAAAATCAGCTGGGCATAGTGGCAGGCGCCTGTAATCCCAGCTACTCGGGAGGCTGATGCAGGAGAACTGCTTGAACCTGGGAGGCAGAGGTTCAGTGAGCTGAGATCGCACCACTGCACTCCAGCCCGGGTGACAGAGTGAGGCTATCTCAAAAAACAAAACAGAACAAAAAAACCCCCACAGAAAACAGGAATGCATAGGATAAAACTATGTACATGGTTGGTTGAGGAGGAGGTTCTCTAGGAGAGCGTTTCCTGTTTTACAGACAGTAAAAATTTGAGTTTTATTTAAGGTTATCACTACTTGGACTATCGTGCTGTAAACTTCTGCTTATGCTGTTACAACTAGGTGGCTTTTCTACTGTTTTTCTTTAGATTATGTCCAAGAAATAATGATAGATCTATGATCTTTTGAAGATATTGCATCAAACACAAGTGAATAGAACTTTAGACTTTGGTAAAACCTCTTACTAACGATGTAGTTTTGCCTCTTAGATTCATGAACTGTGATAACTCAGATAAGGATGGTAACTGCAGAAACAATATATATATAAAGAGAAATAAACTCCTGGGTGATGTCATTTTCCATGTGGCCCAGTGTGCCTGTGTTGAAAAGTTTTGTTCTCAAAGCAGTGTATTGATGTGATAATGGGGAATAACATTTTTTTTAAGAGGGAACCTTTAATATAATCTTTTAGCCCTTTTAAAATGGATACAGTGGCGTTTTCTCCTAGGCTCAAAGCTGAGTACACTCCTGTAATTTTAATAATATTTTAGGCAAGTCCTATGACAATTATACCAACAAGTTTCTTCAACCCCACCACCACCCCTACCATACCTATGCTTTGCTTGCCCATACTCCCTTCACCCTTTCCTCTGCTATTACCACTGGTATTTCTGCTTGTGGTTGAAAATAAAAAGCATCTCCAGATTGCAGCAAACTCAGTGGCCCTGCTCCACAGCCTGGCCTCTGCTGAAGGAAGAAAAGGGGTGAAACATGAACGACCATCATGGGTTGTGATCAGGCACTACCAGAAGCCCAGCTTGTGTTTCAAAAACAGGCTCTTGAACATGTTCCCAGAAGGTAACTCTTCACTGGCTTGGAGAACAGGAAGGACTATTTCACAAACACCACTGTGTTTGAATTTCTAGAGGCTACCCAGGCCAAGAATACATCCCTAAGAAAGAAAAAGACACACAAACAGAATTATACACAAACTGAAACAGAATTACAGCCTACTTTTTTTTTTTTTTTTTGAGATGGACCTCCCGGGTTCATGCCATTCTTCTGCCTCAGCCTCCCGAGCAGCTGGGACTACAGGCGCCTGCCACCACGTCCGGCTAATTTTTTGTATTTTTAGTAGAGACGGGGTTTCACCGTGTTAGCCAGGATGGTCTCGACCTCCTGACCTTGTGATCCACCCGCCTCGACCTCTGAAAGTGCTGGGATTACAGGCGTGAGCCACCACACCCAGTCGCTACATTCTTTTTATCTGTCTTTTTTTATTTTTATTTTTATTTTGAGATGGAGTCTCGCTGTTGCCCAGGCTAGAGTGCAGTGGCATTATCTCCTTGGCTCACTGCAACCTCCGTCTCCCAGGGTCAAGAGATTCTCCTGCCTCAGCCTCCTGAGTAGCTGGGACTATAGGCGCCCGCCACCATGCCCAGCTAATTTTTGTATTTGTAGTAGAGATGGGGTTTCACCACATTGGCCCAGCTGGATTTTTTTTATCAGTCTTAAGCAAATAGGTTCCCAGATAATTTCCTGCAGCATTATGGTTAGATAGTATCACCTTAGAAATATAAGAACAGTGGGCTTAAAAGTCAGAAGTAGAGGCAATGCTAATTTACTGTAGAGTTTTTGAAATAGGAAATAGAAATGCCTTGTCCTACAGCTGTAGGTAATTCCCAGAGAAATTTGGGGAGAGGGATAAAATCTTCCAAATTTCTCCCCATTTCCCTCACAAATTGCAAATTATCATATGCTACTTTCCACTTACCATTTCTCCCCAAATTCTAATTCCCTAAGTAGTCTGATTTGCAGTAAGGATTGAAAAGCTAGTATTTGCAAACACTAAGAGCCTAATGTATTATCACATTTTTAAAGAGCATAGAGAGGTATGTGGTAACTGAAAAATGTGAACTGCTGATTACGTCATCTTTGGCTATGTGGCAAATGTAAGCTCTTAAGCAGGGGCGCTTTTCTAGTACACCAGATAGACATACAGCAACCTACTCTACCTAAAGTAAGGTGACACTGAGATGCTGATTTTATGCTCAAGATTACCATGTTTCCCAACAGAATTAATTGACCAGTATCTGAATTATAAAAGGGGGAACTGTAAGCTCACCTGCAATGCTTCACCACACACTCATTGCTGCAGTATTCATTGTCCCAGTCCTTACTCACAATGGGAGGGTTATCACAACCAGACCTCACACATCGAGGCTGGGGTGAGAGTGCCACAGGAGACCCACTCACCAATTCAACATCCATCTGAGAAGGAGACTCAACCTGTGAGAGGAAGAGAGTACCAAAGTGGATTAAATTGCTCCCTGCCTAGCTAGCTAGTTGAAACCAATGAAGCAAAAGGTATTACAATTCCTCACACTGGGGGTAAAACTGGAGAAGGTGAGTTCTCGGTCTCCCCGTCAACAGTCTAGCTTCAGAACTTTGCCAAGCAGAATGACGGAAGATTTTTCCCATCAGGAGAAAGGTGGGCATGTGGTAATGCTTTTTTTCCCCCTTAAGCCTGGCTAGTCAAGTATAGTAGTGGGAATAAAGAGGTAGTCCTTTTTTTTTTTGTTTTTTTTTTGAGACGGAGTCCTGCTCTGTCTCCCAGGCTGGAGTGCAGTGGCGCGATCTCGGCTCACTGCAAGCTCCGCCTCCCCAGTTCATGCCATTCTCCTGCCTCAGCCTCCTGAGTAGCTGGGATTACAGGCACCTGCCACGACGCCTGGCTAATTTTTTGTATTGTTAGTAGAGATAGGGTTTCACCACGTTGGCCAGGCTGGTCGTGAACTCCTGACCTCAGGTGATCCACCTGCCTTGGCCTCCCAAAGTGCTGGGATTACAGACGTGAGCCACCACGCCCGGCCATATTTATGTGTTTTAAAAAACAATGGTATGAACCAATTAAATTTTTCTGGCTATACCCTCTGCCCCACACACATTTAAAACATCAAGCTAAGGAACTTAAGACCCAGGATAAACGAAAAGCTTTATATGTCCAAAGTTTAAGATCCTTGGGTAAACAACTCTGAAAAATAACTGTTTAGGCTATATCCTGTCCAGCTGAACTAGTGGCTGCTGCTTAGTTAAGGAGTGGTCCTTATCTTAATGTATCTCACTAAAAACACTATGGGGTACGCGGTGGCTCAACGCCTGTAAAACCTGCACTCTGGGAGGCCGAGGCGGGTGAATCACGAGGTCAGGAGTTCAAGACCAGCCCAACCAACATGGTGAAACTCCGTCTCTAGTTAAAAATACAAAAAATTAGCTGGGTGTAGTGGCGATTACCTGTAATCCCAGCTACTTGGGAGGCTGAGGCAGGAGAATCACTTGAACCCAGGAGGTGGAGGTTGCAGTAAGCCGAGAGTACACCACTGCACTCCAGCCCAGGCAACAGAGCGAGACTCCGTCTCAAAAAAAAAACAGGGTGGGCGCAGTGACTCACACCTGTAATCCCAGCACTTTGGGAGGCTGAGACAGGCAGATCACCTGAGGTCAGGAGTTCAAGTCCAGCCTGACCAACATGGAGAAACCGTCTCTACTAAAAATACAACATTAGCCAGGCATGACGGCACATGCCTGTAATCCCAGCTACTCAGGAGGCTGAGGCAGGAGAATCACTTGAACCCAGGAGGTAGAGGTTGTGGTGAGCCGAGATCGCACCATTGCACTCCAGCCTGGGCATGGACATCTCAAAAAAAAAAAAGAAAAACCACCAATATGGGTACCTTGGGTAGGACAAGTCACTGTTGCAAGGAAATCCCATCTGCAGGATGTTTTGTGTTCCTGGTTGCTGGGCATTAAATGCTAGTAGCAACCCCCACTTTTATTTGGTCAACCAAAAATGTTTTTATACATTTCCACTAGACTAGAGGAAAGACTTAAAATCAAAGGCTCACCTCAGGAACTACATCTGTGATCATCTCACAGATAGTCTCAGGAGAAGTTGCCTCCACTGTATGGGCCTCAGGGCTGTTGTTCATAGGCCGCTCAGGACTACTTTCCACAGTTGGTGGGACTAAGGTAGTCTGCATTTTCAAAGTGGGTAGAGGCACACTCTTGATCTGCAGAGGGGGTGGCTGTTGCTGTAAATTGATTCGAACTTTCTGAGGTGGAGGCTGTTGCATGGCCTGGAGTGGAGGCGGCTGCTGCAGAATGGTAACTTGCTGCTGAGTTGGGGGTTGTGGCATCTGTTGTAATGGAGGGGGCTGTAGTCGGGGTGGAGGCAGTTGCATAGAAGCAGCAGCAGCAGCAGCTGCTGCTGCCTGCAACACTGACCGAGTGACAATCTGGGCTTGTTGACTGGGCTGGATAGTGGCTGTA